ATAGCCTTTCGTCAGATTTTTCAATTTATTGTAATATGTTGATGAATCATTCTCCTTCAAGTTGTGTTGTGGTACACTTGTCGGAACCCTGTCTCTTCTTCGATCTCCTGCCCCCCCACTCGAAGAAAAAACCGAAAAACGAACTTGACCAGAAATATGCATTTCATTTGAGTTTTAACAGGCTGATGCAGAGATACCAAATGACCTGTGAATAGTATGCAGGACACCATGAGAAACGCATGATAGACATAGCTTCTTGTTTAGCCCCTGTTTAACATCCATTAATTCAGAACTCTTTTTTTCTCAAATGATTGAGCAGAAATATAATGGTTTGGACTTGAGTTGAGATTTTAGTCCATTGCAATATAGATTTCCAAGGTTTAATACATAGATGAATCATATTGGAGAAGGTAAATAAATTTCTAATCTTTTTGGAAATCCATAGCCAGGGAAAAGTAAAACAACGGAGCAGGTCTAGATAACTTAATGTCTTTTTATTTTTTAAGTGAAAAATTAACTTTATTTGAAAGCATCTATTACATTATTGTCAGAAGAAGTAAATTTTTTCCAACTTTGATCAATAGAAAATTGTTTATATTAAAACTTACCTATTTACTTATAATTAAACTTTTTAAACTTAGCCCGTCCTCTAATCAGGCAGGTTATTTCCATTTCTGAATGTTCTCAGGTTTTTCAGATTAGCAGACATGGAGACTGGGAGCGAGCTCTCGACCCTAAAAGGTATTTTGTCCAGTTCTTTGGTACATCAGAAATGTGAGCACACTTTCTCAAATGTTTGTTATGTGCTTACACTAATGCTGAAATGGCTTGGTTGGCAGGATGATTTATGACAATGTCTTGTTGTGTATTTTTCTGAGAAAAGAAGCTAAGATTTCTGTGCAGGGAACTGTGTGTAAACTTGTGGTCTTCCCCTTAGTTCATATAGCAGGTAAACTAATTGAAATCTAAAAAACTACTCTTAGTTTCTAAATGAGTGAACTTTTCTCTTGCAGGGTGCATATGGTTAATTTCTTTATTGACAGTGCTAGCAGAGTTAATCATTGCAATTAAGAATGTATTTATTTATTTTTTGAACTAAGTGGTTTTATGTAGTCTTGTTTCAGATTTCCCACCAGGTAAAGGTTTTTTATATACAAGACATTGCTTATAGGGAGTGGAGCTGTTCTAGGATTTGCACCAGCATCTGAATATGCCTTCTTGGTTTATGTATGGCATGTGGGAAACTACTTTGAGGTATAATAGTTGTATCTTTCATGCCTCTGCAGTTTCTACTTGAATTTCTGGTAAGATTGGGCTCAAAAGTCTATATGAATAAAGTCAAATTAACTTTGCTTCAAATACTTTTCCAAACTTTCTACATACAGTCTACCCAAATATTCATGAATTAGCAAAGTAATAGAGTTTGTCAAGTAATAGATTATAGATTTTGAGGATGTTTGATCATCCAATGGTAACTTGTATAATTCATAAAGAAGCAAAAAGAAGATCTTGCAATCACATTCTTAAATACACAGAAAGATATCCAAGGAAGCTAACAGTACATAAGTAAAGAGGCCAAGGACCCAAAGAAGTCGGGAAGGGAGGCATAGGATTTATGTTACTATTCACAAACATTTGACAATTTATTTGAGTTGAAATTACTTAGTTATTGCTTGTTCTGGTGTTCCATTTGATTAAAGAATAGGTTGTTTGGTATGTTACTCGAATCTTAATTAGATGGTGATTCGCTGTACTTTTGATTTATTTGCTCACTCTAAGTTTGTTAATTATACTCTTATTATTTTTGTGGCATGCAGGGAGTTGCTATTTTGTGGGATGGCTAAATTGTCGGTCAAAGAAGTAGACTTTGATATGGATCAAATGTTTTGTAACATTTTAATCATTTTTTGAAGTAGTATATACTTTCTAAGAATTATTGAGATGAATTTTACATTGATATATTGTATTAAACCATACTCAATATTTATGTTTATTGAGACTATATGGAAAACCTGGTTATATATATGAAATTTTGTTTTGTAATTAGTACAAGTATGTTGTAGTGGTTGCAACAAACTGTCGCGTCTCCCTTTTTTTTTCTTGCGATATATATGCACTGCGACAACATTATAGCTACAAATATTGTGTTGCTATTTTGTATTTTCTGTGACAAATAAATAGTGTTGCAATTTTGTTAAAGCGATGAATTGTCGAAAATTGTCGCAAAATACATTCCTTGACTTAACATTCACAACAAACATATTTCTCGTAAAAACTTTTTGGAATATTCATTGCGACAAACTGACTTGTCGCCCTTTCAATTTTTCGCGACATATATACATTGCGACGACCTTATGGCTACAAATATTGTGTTGCTATTTCGTATTTTTTTGCGTCAAACAAATAGTGTCGTGATTTTGTTAACGCGATGAATGATCAAAAGTCGTCGCAGAATACAATCCGTTACTCATATAGCGCGACAATACCTGCAACAAACATATTGTCATCGCTAAATAACTTTTGCAACGAAATCTCAATTTTTGCGACAACATTTTGTTGTCGCACAACAAACATATTGTCATCGCTAAATTACTTTTGCAACAAAATCACAATTTTTGCGACAATATTTTTTTGTCGCGAAATCGGTTATTTGTTGTAGTGTCTGTTGCCTCACTATATTGCATTCTCAGATTTCAAACCCTTGAACTTTCCATTAAAAGAGACTTAAGTAGAATCACAATACTAATTATACAACTCCAAGAGGTACATGGTTCAACTTAAATCTCTCTTAAAGAAAGGTCATTTGTTTGAATTTTGGGGACCCGATAGAAATTTGTAAGCAATAAGTGGGCAGATGCTTGGCCGAAGCGAATAAATAACCGTATGATAATATATATATATATATATTTCAAATATCAATAGAGGTTCCATATTTGAATTTGACTAGCTATGATCCAAGATTTCAAGATCAACCCTATACCTATGTGACGTTTGCTTGTCCACGTGACCTTGCTTGGATTCAGAGGGTAACAATGGCCATGGCAATCATATTGGTACAGGGACAGGGACAAATCACTGAAAGCCTAGGTTCAAAAATATTTCACATAAAATATGATTTTGTACACGAACCCCTCCATGTGAGGGTGTTGTAAACCTCTATGTACACCCTAAAGTGAACAAGTAACATAATGTTTTAAAATTTCGATGTTCCCATTCACTTCCTATCCCATACATATTTCTGAATAATTTTTAATATGTCGATATTATTTTTCTCATTTTCAAGATTCTAAATATTAAAATATTGATGTTTTGGCAATTAAATTTGATAAGATAGAATATAAAATGAGACACAAAATACAATTTATATAATTCATTATTCTGCTTTCTAAGCAATCTTAAAGAAAATCACCTTATTAATATCAAGCTCTCAAAGATATTATAATAAATTTATTTATTTAAATAAAGTTGTCAACACGATTCTCCATATGCACATAAAATTTCGTTTTTCTTTCATAAAAGGATTACACTATTTGAACAATCTTATTTAAAAGCTTAATTTGTGAAAGAGTGAATATATTATACATTCATCGTTTCTAATACATCCATTTACGTTAAACTGAACTTATTTCATAATGTAGTTTTTAAAAGTTAGTTATTATGAAATTTCAACTTAAAATATTAACATATCTCATATAAAATCGTCTCCTCCAACAATTCTCAAACTCTTAGCCCATGTTTGGTGTATATTAAAATTTGAATAATTTTTCAAATCAAAGTTAATAATTAATTTTAACCACATTTCATGTGACCTTTCAATTACACGTTTTATCAACCTATTAAAATTTACTAAAAATCCGATTTTAAGCCTCTGTTGCCCTAGTTTGGTGGCCGCTTTAAAAAAAAAAAAATCAATGTTTTGAATGATGAATTTTTGGAGAATGTATGATTAAAAAAATAAAGAAAAGTTTTGAGTTTACGTATTGAATATTTTATTGTGTGAATGTGTGATTAAAAATGGGTATATAAAAAAGAGTTTTAAAAGAATGAGAGAAAAACATGGGCTAAATTGCACCAAACAAGAGCAAAGTGGTGTGACAAGATATTGGAGGAACTTTACGTCGTATCATAATAATTCTCTGAATATTTTTTGTTGTTTTCCTCTTATTTTTATGATCTCGCGTGAGGCATGTGCACCCTGATAATAAACTAATAATAAAATCCCCACTAGCTCACCACTGTATATAAACCAACACCACCCAATTCATCACTCGATTCCTAGTTTCTTGCTCTCCTCTCCAATACACTAACGTAATATGGACTGTACAATGAGGACTATTTCCTTGTTTTCACAGTCATCTAATGGTATTTCAGGAACGGCAAAGAGTCCATTTATATGGCAGATACCGCGTCGATTTTCATCAGGTCGAAGTGATTTCATTTGCAAGCCATTGGCGGTGTCGTCTCCAAGTGCAACGCCATTGATCCCTGCTGAAAATGATGCTCTGTATACTTATATTCGTCAACCTGTGGTGAGTAATCATTTTGTCTAGTGTATTTTCATCTCCTTTTTTTTTTTACTATGTTAGAACTTTTTTTAGCTCGAGCGGAACCGAGGTTCTCTTCGTGTGTGTTGGAGGTTCTCATTCGTTTATTTCTAATGAACTTGTTGGTTTTGAGAAACTTATTGTCAATTGGCATGAACATGATTTCCATTTTTATCACTACATGGTTTTGTAGAAATTGTGATGGCATATTGTTTGAAGAAGAGATTTAAATCAATACATGTTTCTTCTCGCACAAATACGAGCATCTATAGAAGATTCTTTATTTATAAAGAGCAACTTATGCATTATAGAGAGTAGGGATGGCACGGGACGGGTATGGCGCAAGTTGACCATTCCCACACCCATCCCGTTGGGTATTTTTGTTACCTTATCCCATCCCAATACCCGATTAAAGCGGGATGATGCGGGATTGGGACAAGATTGAGGTGGGGCGGGGCAGGTCCCCTGCCCCATTTATTTTTTATTTTATTTTGTTATGTCTTTAGTTAGTAAATATTATTACTTTTTTTTAAATAATTTGTTAAAAACAACTTATATTCATTTTAAAAATGATGATAAATTTATTATTTTTGTTCGATAAAAAACTTAAAATAACTTTAAACGTGGTGGGTAGCGGGGTGGGGACTATGTTTTCCTTATCCGCTCCGTACCCGCTTCGAAATAATGACTCTCGCCCTGTTCACTCGGTTAGATGGGTAATCATCGTCCCATTCGGGGGCGGGCCCACGAGTATCGGGTTAAACGAGTTTTTGCCATCCCTTAAAGTATATTTAAATTTAAAGAGTCAAAATTTTTATATACTCCAACAATGCTCACTATTTTGAGTCTTCGTTTTACCTTTCTAAAGAAACATTTATTAATTTCATCTCATATTTTATTTAACAAAATTTTTTATGTGTCAATAAAGAATCAATTTAAGTTTGGTTTGAATAGTTTAAGAACTAGAATACTGAAATATGTGGCTTATTAAATGCATTTATTGTATATTAAGAATATATAGTGAGTTTGGGCATTTAAATTTGGAGAATCAAAATCAATCTCTATTTTAAAGGGTTAAATAGAGTCTCTTGAAACTTATTTTTAAACATTAGATTTTTAAAATAAATAGCATTTATTTAGAGAGTTTCGTGAAAAAACTTTTAAAATTTAAAAATGACATAGTTGACATGGTATTAAGACAAAGTATTTATTAAAAATTGTGCACATAAAAGTAAAGCCTCTATCTAGATCTCTAAAATTTACATTTCTCAAAATTCATTTTCAATCACATTTTTACGTCAGGCAAAATAGCGATTATTCTAAAGGCTGGTTTCAACATATAAGTAATAGGGAAGAATACAAGAGAAAAAGGCCAAGAAAACAATAAAATTCTTTATTATTCATTGAACATGCGAAAATAATCAACAAGCAGGGTTAAATAGCTAAAAAATCGTAATTATCGAAATTTTACCAAAAATAGCAAACCATAATCATGTCAAAAGAAAGTACGTAATAAAAGAAATAATATCTAAAAAATTTGGCTCAAATCGAGCTCATAATCTATGTTAAAAAGGTAAACGAAACATTACAAAAAAAATAACTAAAATTGAGGATTCGGAAGGAAAAACAGCGGATTTTTTCCCTCAAAATCAATGTGATCACGACATGTGCGCCGAAAAGAGCTTTTCGAATTGGTTTCATGAGCGCGATTCTGATAATCGAAACCAAAGTTATGGCCAAAATACCGAAACATGTCCAAAAATGCTCCTAATTAGGAAAGATCGCCATTTTTGTGTTGATCCGCCAACTCATAGTACCTCAGCGGCATCAACGAGCTATCGGACAAATCAGCATCATGTGACTCCGATCCTCTTGCATCACATTTTCTCAATTCAATATTTTTGCACGTTGACCTATAACTTTTTCACTTTTTAACCGTACATTCTAAAAAAATCACACTTAACAAAATCTATTCTAATAAGTTCAAATATATACGCGTAAACCCTTATAGGAGCTTAAACTTCAAATGAAATAATTAACGATTTTATTTCTCATTGACATATTCTTCATTTTTTTGTTTGCTTTACAAAAACATGTCATTTGGCATTTACACGACTACCCTTTATCATTTCATGGTTTCGTAGTTACTAAGGTTGCAAGTCAATTATTATCTAAAATTAGGGCTTCTGTTTGATGGCTTTGTAGATAGTTACTCCGGAAGTCGACGACGGCACGAAGCACAGAGAACTGCTCGAAAAAACTCGACGAGAACTGCAAAGAAGAACAAAACCAGTTGAGACGCTAAAACTAATAGACAATCTTCAACAACTAGGAATTGCGTATTATTTTGAGGACGATATCAATGCATTACTGGATCGATTATCTGATGGTTTGCCCAATGAAGATCTCTTCACAACAGCCTTATGTTTCCGCTTGCTCCGTGACAACGGCTACAAAACCGGTTCAGGTATAAAATTCGCAACACCTTTAGTTCTTATTATATAAATTTATTGATATAGTCGTAGTAAAAATAAGATTATGCTATAACTAATATCCTCTCTACTAGGAGTGAATCCAAGATATTAAGTCTGATAGGACGGTCGTTGATAGTCGTAATAGTAAGTTTGTTTATTAATATTTAATTAAATATTATTAAAAAAATTTCAATCAATATACAACCTAAAATGATAAGGGAAAAAAATATTTTTCAATCATACGTGTATGATTCAAGATTCAAGCTTTTTACGGATTTAAATGAAACAATTTATACGTAAAGCATGATTAAACGGTAAAGACAAGCTCCGAGTTTAAGCAAAAGTTATGCAAAATTTTGAAAACAATGATTTTTAGAACTAGAATTATTTTTTACCNATGCAAAATTTTGAAAACAATGATTTTTAGAACTAGAATTATTTTTTACCCAAAAAAAAACTTATTTTTCGAACTCTTAAAAGAATAAAGAGCGGCACTTAAATTGTCCGAATTTGAATTTTATAAAATAAATTAATAAAACCTAACAATTAAAGTATATATATCATGGAGTAATACTTTGAGGCAATAAGTTCTTTTAAAGAAATGATTTCGAAAACGAAAACTAATAACATATAATTGTTTAGTTATTATTTATTGTATTAAGAAAAAAAACAAAAAATTGAAAGTGCATAGAATTGAACCTTATACCTTCCCACATACCAAACAACCCCTCTACCATATGAGCTACATGCTATTTTGCTGAGCAGTGGTTCAATTATTAATTAATATTACTACCATTAAAAATTAAAAGGAATAATGCTATTAGTATTTCATCACATGAAAAGGCAAACACTCTTACAATAATCTATATATATAAATATTTTACATAAATCTTAATTAATCTTTCTTCTTGACGAAATTAGCACGGGCAGCTGAGCTGGCTCGTCGATGCTGGGTCCGCCCCTTCTCTCTATACAAAAATGAAAACTACAGAAAATGCAGCACTTTACGTGGGTAATAATGCAGAAAATGACAGCATAGAATAAATGGTAGTTTTCTCAAAATGGAGAGTTTTATTATAAATATTCCAAGCATGTGGAAAAAAATATGTTTCTAGAAAAGATCCGTTTGTCCTGAAATAGACATGCAAGTCTAAAAATTTATTCCTTCTGTCACTTTCTATTCCAATTATCAATATGTCATATATTTAAAATTTAGCATAAGATAATAAGAAAATAATTATTTCTACAAAATGATAGATAAGTTGGGCCGGCCCCAGACCAAAGCTGACCCACAGGCCTAAGCCATGGGACAGTAGGCTAGCAACAAGACAAATATGCGTGAGTTTTGGGAGTTAATACCATAAATAGTCACTGAACTTTGTCAAAAATTATCAGGAGGTCACCAAACTTCTAAACGTCCCTAAGTAGTCACTGAACTTTGCAAATAGTTCCTAGGGGATCATTGAACTTCAAAACTTCCCTAAATAGTCACCGAACTTTGCCAAAACTTCCCATGAAGTCACCAAACTTTGCAAATTGGGACCCCATGCATTAATGGTTCAGTGACTATTTAGGAAAGTTTTGGCAAAGTTTAGTGACTATTTAGGAAAGTTTGGAAGTTCAGTGACCCCTTAGAAACTATTTGCAAAGTTCAGTGACTACTTAGGGAAGTTTTGAAGTTCGGTGACCTCCTAGGAAATTTTGGCAAAGTTCAGTGACTATTTAGGGTATTAACCCTAAGTTTTGACGTTTGAGTTCTTTTTAGGAGCTCGACTCTAATTATTTGATAATTAGAACTTATTTTAGGTGTTTGGTTAGATTAAAAAAATGATGAAGCAGATTTAGCCCCTGTTTGATAGGATTAAAATCAGATTTTTAGTAGATTTTAATAAAAGTAGATGAATATGTGATTATAATTAATTGTTGACTTTGATTTGAATTTTCAGGGGCTTAGAGAAAACAAAATTTGTGTTATTAAATTCTCTAGTTGTCTATAATTAAAATAATATTTTTAGCTTTAATTAATCTTATTGTTAGGATCACTTTCCAAAATGGTCCCAATCACGGGCTTGTCCATAAACACGTCACTTATTTTTCTCTATATGCTTGTTTAAACAAATAATAATAAAATCTGGACATTTATCTAAATTAGCCGAAAATTAAAATCAAGATTTCTATATAAACACATCATCTTAATTATGTTTTACAATTGGTGCAGATGTCTTTCTTAAATTCATGGAAAAGAACATGAAATTCAAAGAACATTTGGCTCAAGACACCATAGGCTTATTGAGCTTATACGAAGCATCGTACATGGGAGCAAACGGCGAAGAAATATTGTCAGAGGCCAAGGAATTTTCCGAAATTCACCTTAGACAGTCGATGCCTTGGTTGGCGCCACAACTTCGTCGAAAAGTTGGTTCTGCCTTAGAGCTCCCGAGACACCTCAGGATGGCTAGGTTAGAAGCTAGGCGTTACATTGAAGAATATGCTACAGAAAGTGAACACGACCCTGCCCTTTTGGAACTGGCAAGATTAGATTATAACAAAGTCCAGTTACAACACCAAATGGAATTGGCTGAAATAACAAGGTCAGTCCCTGGAGTTTAATTTCTTAAATGGATAACATTTACAGAAATTTAATTAAGTAGCACTGAATTTAATTTACTTTCAATTTGACAATTGATTATTGTGTCCATTTTTATAAATAGACAGGGGACCAAATTATAACAAATTTTAAGTTTAGTGATCAATATGAAATTCCATAAATGCTCGTTGACGCACTAGAAAAAATTTGTATTTATGGAAATAAATAGCGAATTGGATGGGATCTTTTAATAAAACAACTCCTTGCTTTTGGATCAAACACGTTACGAATAACGAGGACGGGTGGGTAGGTTTGATTTTCCCCATACAATAGGGAGAGTAACCAAAACTATGGTAAGGTACGACTTGCATGGACATTATTAGAAATGGATTAAACATATACAATACTCGACTCCAAATTCATCGAAATAAATGGTTGGCCTGACAAATTTCTTGTTTTCAGATGGTGGAAACAATTAGGACTTGTTGAGAAGCTGAGCTTTGCCCGGGACAGACCATTGGAATGCTTTTTATGGACAGTGGGACTTCTTCCAGACCCCAAGTACTCTAGCTGCAGAATTGAACTGGCTAAGACCATAGCCATTCTGTTGGTAATTGATGATATTTTTGACACATATGGCAAAATGGAGGAACTTGTTCTTTTCACTGAGGCAATTCAAAGGTTCGTACCTATATCAATATATTTCACTTTGTTCATTTTCATTTTTCTTCGAAAATATACTGAAGATTTGATTGTCTTTGGAATTTTTTAACGAATTTGGATGCTTAATTTGATTCGCAGATGGGATCTTGATGAATTGGAAATCCTTCCACCGTACATGAGAATATGTTACATGGCATTATACAATACTACCAATGAAATCTGCTACAAAATCCTCAAGGAGTATGGATTTTGTGTCCTTCCCTACCTTAAATCCACGGTAACGTGCTTTTTTCTGGACCATGGCTAAATGATCAGTTTGTTTTTCTCTAAGTGTAAATCATACTTGCATGCTTATAGCCAAATTTCAATTTGTAGAACTTACTAGAAACCCAAAAACGAGGTTGAATTACTTGTCTTTGGTTTGCTTGCTTTTTACACTACCTTGTACTCACTCTTTGGTTAGAAACTCGATCACAGAGGAACGAGTTTGATAGTCACAACCCAAATGCCAATTTAGAGATATAAATCTTTCAAAACAAGTCACAATCCTTGTGTGTTTTTCACCTTTTTCTTCACTCACGAATTTTGCATGTATTTCGATGGTTTTTAGTGTAGTGGAAGTTGTACAAAGGTTGAGGGTGCTTGGAGGTTAAATTTGAAACTTAAAATTTAATTTCTCCCTCCAAAAACCATTCCATGCAAATCGGGTCAGGTCAACCCACATGAACGACCCATTTTCTTCCAACAACACCATGATTCTTAACATTTTACATGACCTGCATTATTATAGCATGGCGGTTAAAACATAACGGTCATTTTCTCACCACGCTAATCGAAAATGGAGTAATTTGCAGTGGATAGATATGATCGAGGGGTTTATGGTGGAGGCAAATTGGTTCAACAGTGGACATGGACCAAATTTGGAGGAATATATAGAGAATGGTGTTTCAACAGCAGGAGCATATATGGCTTTGGTGCACCTATTCTTTCTTATAGGGGAAGGAGTTACAAATGAGAATATTACTAAATTGTTGAGAAAACCATATCCTAAACTCTTTTCCGCAGCTGGGAGAATTCTTCGTCTCTGGGATGATCTAGGAACTGCCAAGGTAAATTATTCTGAACCTTTTTTTCTTAAATTTTATGAATAAGAATCAATAGGTTGGCACATTTATCGCACTCTTAAACATCACAAATTTTATCGTGTGTCAGGAGGAGGAAGAACGAGGCGATCTTGCATCGTGCATGCGGATATTAATGAGAGAGAAGAATATAGCATGTGAAAACGAAGGCAGAAATTATATTCTGAAGGCTATAAACGGCCTATGGAAAGATCTCAACGATGAACTGATTTCACCAAATGCAATGCCATTAGCCATTACCAAAGTTGCATTAAACATGGCCAGAGCTTCTGAAGTTGTTTACAAGCATGAAGAGGACTCCTACTTCTCCAGCGTCGATAATTATGTACAGGTTTTGTTTTTCACTCCTATTAATTGATTTTTACATGCATTATACTTTGAACGACTGATTTATGTACTGAAAACATATACATATATCCTTAGGCCTTGTTATGTTATTCGATTGGTATAATAAGGGCCTTTCTTATCGAGTGAGTCTTTAACATTTTTTCTACCGGTACAAACATAATTATGGAGATATCAGGGTACGTTGTGGATTCGTCAAAATTTCCTTGTGAAGCGGTGTGCTAACCTTCTTTTTAATGTTCAACTTTTATCGGATGAATTGTATTGAATTTCGTAGGATATAAATTTTATCGGTGAATTTTATAGGATATAAATTTTAATGAATTTCATTAGAGTTTTTTAAAACAATTCTACATTAAAGAAAATTAATAACTTTGTCATTTAAAATAACTAATTTCCTCAATCTAAAAAATCAAAATGAATAAAAATTAGTTCGATCTGAAATAAATTGAAAAAAAAATCACAATCTTCAAAGTCAAGCTAATAAATATCAATAATTAAAATATAAGTTTGATCTAAAAATAAAAAATATTTTTCATTATAATTTCGAGGATTGATAAGTTTATTTTATGCACTTATTGGACTTCTAAACTTGATTATTCATTGCTCAATTGGGCAATTACCTACCTAATCTAGAATAAATTATATTAATTGTAGGTAAAACCCGCACTAGGATACAATTGACATGAAAAAGGCGATTTTGAGCATATCTCGAGTTGATCGAAGCAATCGATGATGCATGATATTAAAAAGATGCATTAAGAGAGTAATCGCAAGAAATTTGCTGGTTTCGAGAGCTAAATCCAATATTTGAAAAGTTTGATGACTCAATTGCAAATTCTCGGAACTTACATTGGATCAACTACTAGAGGTGTTAATCCGGGTGGTCCGGGTCGGGTCAGCCCGCCAACATATGAGCCCGGTAACGGCCCGCGTGAAAAAATGCCCACCCTCTACGGGTTCCGGACCGGTTCCGGATCGGTCCACAAATTTTGAACTACAACCCAAATCCACTCGCTGACCCATCCGGGTCGAACCCATACGGGTCACGGGTCGAACGGGTTGCGATTTGTTCCGATTTGGCATGTATTATTGTATAAATAAAATTATAAAAATATATAATTTTTCATATTTATAGCAAATTTTTTTTTTAAAAAATGTAAACTAAGAATGGAACAAAATGATAAATTCATATTTATACCAAGAAATGTTTATATAGAATTCAAATTTAATATTACATGAATTATTTATAACTTTATAAAGTTAAATTTAATTTAAACAAATAACAACTAAATGTATTTCTAATTACTATTACCAAATATTTATAGTATAAATACATCCCAACTAAGTTGACACATACTTTTATTATAATTTATAGTTTAAGTGCATCATAACTAGGTTGACTCTCTCCCCCTTTTTTTTTTCAAATTTTTTTTAATTTTTTTTTCACGGGCTAGCGGGCTAACCGCGGCCCGTGAAGGTGCAACCCGTGAAACCCACGGGTCACATCTCCTTGACCCATGAACTGCCCGCTCGGGTCATGGGTCGGCTCGCGATCCCAGGTTGATCCGGGCCGATTTTCACAGGTCTGATCGGTACATCTGTCTTAACATCTCTATCAACTACTTGGGATCATGGAACACGAAGGATTAAATAGTAAAGACTCTATGATGAATGATCAAAATTGCACATAAGAAGGGACTCGAGGGGATTAAGTAGAGAAATCCAGGGATCAATGCAAGCAACGCTCATTCAACACGTGCACATGCAATACTTCAACCATGCGATCGCAAACATTTATTTCATGCCAATGCATCGTTACTCTGGCCAACAAAGATTTTATTTCCATTTCGTTGCTGTTGGTTTTGAAAATTATTTTTAGAAAAAATAAACGGAAGCAAGAACAATCACATTGTAAAAAAAAATTTCTTTTTAATTAAACAATACACATATTAACTTAATCAACATGTCATTAAGGAAGACATGAAAATAATACCGACGATCGCCTAGGATGTAAATCTTGAACTCCTTAAAATCATCAATCTCCCAAAAGCTTCACAATTCTTTCTCTCCAATTACAAGGAACGAAAAATTGGGCATTTCAGATTTGGATTTGATTCACACACTCACTTTATGGTTCACTTTGTATTCTCAACACATGAGACAAAGTGAGAAGAAAAGAAAGAACTCTCAGAAAAGTATTCACTACAACAAAATTTCTAACATTCAAAAAATGTTGCCGAAAACCTTTTACAACGTTTGGACGTATGTTGCAAATTTCGATATTGCCATAGAGCATAAGGATACGACAACGTTTTTTGAATGTTGCTAATAATCTTTTTGCAACGTTTTTTGAATGTTTTCAAAACTTCTTTGCAACGTTTTTTGAATGTTGTCTATACTTGTATCCTTATTTTTTGCAACATTTATTAAAATTTGCCGTTTCCTACCTTTAAAAAAAAATTACTCCATAAATTGTTATATTTACATATATCAAACTTATTTCACAATAATCTTTAAATTTATTTATATAATAACAATAAATAATAAATCCATCTTCACAAATAATAAATATCACATGCTTATTGTAAGAGAAAAAGAGAGACCTTACAATTATAGTACTTTTCAATTGTCCAACTAACAAAATCGAGTAGAAGGATGTCTTGTTTCTTTTAACAGCAATATTATTAAGTAGAATCTGTAAAGAGAAAAGGAGCTAAAAGCCTCGTTTGGTGGGATGAAGCCATCAAACATCTCTTCAAAAGACACTGCTGGTAATGTTTGCCTTCTTACTCCCCTATCTGTTCCAATTCTATTGGGTCCTCAAGGACATTTGTTAAAAGCTTATGCTCTTCATTGCCCAGATTTTTCATCCTAGAGGAAATGGATAGTGTTCTTCTGCTGAATTAAAGACCGCTCAGATTTAATTTCATTACTTCCAACCCCATGCAATGATGATTCAATGCACATTGGCAGAGCAGTACGCAATTCAGTTCAGCAACTGTAATCTCAACTTCACTCTTCCTTTCTTCGATAGTTGGCCAATTCTCCAACATTCTAAACTCCCCTTTGGAGCCTGATTTAGCCTCAATCATTTTATTCAACATTGAAATCATCGGTTCATGATTCCTATTAATTTCTTCCATTATTTTTTCCATCCTATCTTGCTTAGTACATACCACTTTCAACTTTTCCTCCCATGATTTTGCAACCACACCCAGATCCGTCTAACATTTTCGGATGATCTTCATTTGAATTGCTCCTATTTTTAGCCATACCCAGATCACGTTGTTGCTCTGATACCATTTGTCATGGTTGGATCTCAACTTCAACCAAAATCAACTAAATTCAATACACAATTGAAAGCAGTCAGCTGGGAATCAATAACCCAAGCTATAAATCTATTAAATGAAATGAAATTACAATGCAATAGTGAAATGTAAATAGAAAGGAGGAGGGGAAATGCAAAAAATCAGAGAAGTAAGAAGAGAATTCAGATTCAGAGAAATAAAAGAGGACTGCTAGGAAATTATTGAGAGCAATTACCCAAGGCCTATGCCCACACCACCAGGCTCAAGTGAGGTTCCATCCCAAAACCAATTGGTAATGGGTGGAGTAGCCCACTTGGGTTATATGGTGGATTTATTTTCTTCCCACAACCGATGTGGGACTTGTTTGCCCCAACAATCCCTCCATCAAACAAGGTTCACGAGGTAAAT